CATAATTATATCGTAACACATGAAAAAAATAACAAGAAGAAATTTTTTCATGATCATATGAGTTTGCCGGATAACAGATAAAAAAAGAAAAAAAAGAAAGTTATTTTCAATTTTTTAATAAGGAAAGGATTTTATGCATAATATTGAGAAAATATCTGTTGCGTTATCTGAATTCGACCAATACACTTTTGAGGGCAATGGAATATGAAATGCATTATCGGAGTTTTATATTTTTATCGTTTCCGCTTTCTGTATTTTTCATTCATGCAATAGATAATTGATATGTTTTAATACTTGTATAAAATTTGGCCAAATTGATTTTAAACTATTCCTTCTAAGTATGGATTTAGGAAATACCCAAATGTCATCCAACGATAAAGGTGATGATCTGTCTCCTGAGAAGCTTGATTTGCGCATCTCAAATTGTTCGCCAGAGCCTTCTCGATCTACAGGATCTGTAGATTCTTTGCATCCCTTAACGCAATCAAGTAAGATTCAATCTGATCCTAGAGTCTCTGAAAATGATGATTCTTCGAGTCATGGAATGACATTCGGCGATAGCGAAGATATATCCGATACACAAGATGGACGTGTCGATAAGGTAGAAAAAAACGTGTAGATCCTTTCTTATTTGAGCTTCTATTTAAAAATTGCGTATTTTTTACGCGACATGTTTTAATGGTTTTAGGTCATTATGGCGGTCAATCTTAGAAATCGTAAATTAGGATGCGCATATTACAACGTCGCCACTTCTAAGTTATACCTTATGGAGGATGTAGCTGAGTCACCACCATATGATATGGTGAATTTATGTGAGTTAGTTTGCTTGCTTATCAAAAGAAAATTAGGTGTAGATATCCTTATTAAAATTTCCTCAAAATTAGTGCGATTTCAAGTTTCACCATCTATAATTCTTGTTAGTTCTCGTGCAGACGATGCATTTATTCAAGCTTTGCAGGCAGAAGGTAGAATGTGTATATTTATCGATTTAAATATTATTAATATTTAACAAGACTTTAATATGTCATTTGTATAATATATAATAGATGGTTCGACTCTTATTCCCTATATTGTAGAGATACGTCCAGGATCTGAATTCATTTACGCATCTGCGAAAACAAAATTATTTTCCATTCGTTTGGGCGATCAAGGGCACGTGCCATCACATGCCGAAGCTAGCAAACAAGAGATATATTTACATTTATCTAGTATCGTGAACCTGGAGAGCATCGAAACAGTTAATAATTGTATTTTTCAATATCCTATGAAATTTTAAAAAACTCAAAAATTTTCTCATATTTGGTTGATAGGTATGCTGTGCTGGGGCTTTGATTAATTATATTTCAAGGGCTAAAATAACTGGTGCTTTATCTGAAGACCTGCAAGTTGGCGTGTTGAGCATAGAACAATTTTCTTTGTAAAAATTTAAATTTACTATAGATCATGGTAAACAATGTTGGAATTGGACTTATTTCCAAATGTGATCTCTTACAGTATAGGTGGCACTACTCCATAATCAATTC